GCTTTGCCTTTGGCTGGTAAGTCTCTAGGGAGAGGAGGAGGGAAACACAAAAGGATTAAGCCCTTTAATGAGGAGGCAACTGCATTAGTTCCTCCCCAGGGTCCCTGGGGTAGAGGCAGCACAGGCTCCTCGCCAGCTGGAGTACGGAGGGGAGAAAGGGCTCCTTCCCCCTTCCCCACCTCACCCCTTGTCTCTTTTTGGCGCTCCTCCCTTCCAGCTCCCTCGGTGAAGCAGGGCCCCGGGGCCACATCTGCCTCCCTGGAGGGGAGTCAGGAGCTATGAAATCTCACTGTTTCTCTAGACCAGTGTTTTTAACCTGGGGTCAGGGGTCCATGGATAGATTTCAGAGAGTCTGTGAGCTTGTTTGAGGGGGAAAAATTACATCTTCATTTTTCACTATATTTTGATGGAAATTTAGTATTCCTTCAATTACTCAAAAACATTCTGGGGCACAAATCCATGACACAGAAGAGGGATGACCCCTTTGTTTTAGAGGTTAGGGTTTGGGGATGGGGACCCAGACTTGGGGTGCTCAGTAAGTCTTCCACTGCTTGTTAGAGCTGGGATTTGGGGGGAAAGCTCCTAATTTTCTCTTCCTTTCCCAATTTCATGTGCCCTCCTAACCCTTTTGGTACAATGGTTGAAGCCAAAACCTTCTAGGCTGTCCTTATGGCTTTGATAACACTATGAGGGAAGGGCCTTGTGGAACCCAGGCCTCTCAGCCCCTCCCTCCTCAGCTTAGTTATAGACTGTGAAACAAGCCCGGGAGATAATAGTTGGGTACAGGGCTAGGGTCATGCTCTCCGTGCCCAGGAAAAAGGGCTCGGATTCTCTACAGAGCAAAGAGAATTCAAAGCAGTGGAGATCCATTTCTGCAAAGGGGGGAGACATCCAATGATTGGACAGGATTAGCTTTAACATCCTCATCTGGGCATCTTGTGCTCTTGGCCTCGACTGGGAGGAGAATGACAAGCGTTGAGACTGAGGTGGCAGATGATGTGGGTGAAGGTGGGTGAACGAGAAGGGACTTAAGGCTATGGTATAAGGTGTGTGTATGTGTGTGTAACATCTAGCTTCATCTTTAAAAAATATTTTTATTGATACTTTTTGTTTTTATAGCATCAGGATTTCCCAGTTTCCTTTTCAGAGAGCTATACTCTATAACAAAGAATATTTTTTAAAATTAACAAAGAAAAAAATTCAGAAAAACTGATCAATACATGGAAAAAATCTGACATGTTCAATGGTTGATACCTATGGATTCCTCCTCACTCTCTGCAAAGGAGTAGGGGGAAAGGGCTGAAGGATTCTCTTATATCTCTTCTTTAGAGCCAAAGAAAATCTAGTTTTGCTAGTTGAATGAATATTTTTCTTTTCTCATTTCTTCCTGCTGACTGAAGGACTCAGTGTAGTGAGAAAGATATCTAGAGCCCTGATTTCCCTGCCCCCAAAGCAACTGAACTGGGAGCTTCCCCTGGGGCTAGACCTGGTTATTGTGCCCTGAATGCTAAATTGGCTGGCCTAAGGGCACGCTGTAGCCCATTCGAGTAGTGTAATTATTATGATCCCCATTTTACAGATGGGAAAATTGAGGCTCAGAAAAGTAAAGTAATTTGGCCAGTGGTACAGAGCTAGCGAGGCAGTCAGGCAGGACTTGAACCCAGGTCCTTTGAGACCAGTTCCAGTGTTTTTTTTTTTTCACTACAGGTCACCAACTCCTCATGTATAAAAGTGTGGTCTAGTGGAAGATGTATTGGTTTTCAAGTCAGTGGGACCTGGGTTTGAATCCCAGTGCTGCCACTTATTGCCTATGTTAAGCAAGTCACTTAACTGGTATGAACCTCAATTTCCTTCTCTGTAAAATGAGGGAGTTAGAGCAGATGGCCTCCAAGGCCCTTTTTAGCATCTCTACATACACGTGCCTGTGTAAACTAACATACACAGATGCAAATTATACAGAGACGCAGAAATATAAAGGCATTTTCATACACATGAATATATGTGTGTATATGTATATGTAGATACATACACACATACGCATTCAGACACATAGACAGGAGCTTGCTGGAACCACTTCAGAATACCTCTCAGCCTCTGAAATGAACAAATGCTACAAATCTAGGCTTGGTTTGTTGTTTTGTTGATTGTCTGGACTTAAGAAAGTGGTAAGAGAAGATGTTCATAACGCAGAGTCAACTTAAAAGCCTACATTTTGGAAGGGGAGGGGTGGAGAGCCAGTTGTTAAACATTTACCAGCACACCACTGCTCACAGACAAACATTGGTGGGGGCTGATGTGTGGAGGTACATAACCACATGTTTACAGATACTCTGGAGCAGGGGTGGGGAACCAGCAGCCTCAAGGCCACATGTGGCCCTCTAGGTCCTCAAGTGCGGCCCTTTGAATCCAAACTTCATAGAACAAATCCCCTTAATAAAAGGCTTTGTTCTGTAAAACTTGGACTCAGTCAAAAGGCCGCACTCAAGGACCTAGAAGGCCACATGTGACCTCGAGGCCTCAGGCTTCCCAGCCCTGCATGGAAACTGTAGGAAAAGAGGACTGGGTCCAAGGGATTTTCAGTGCATTTTGATATTGAACACCATATGGTAAGGACACTATCAGTAGAATGTAAGCTATTTTAGGGCAGGGACTGTTTCTTTTTTCTTTTTGGTCTTTATATCTCCAACATGTAGCACTGTGCCTAGCACATAGGACACACTTCAAAAATATATTTTGTTGCTCAGGAATGGCAGCAGTACAGGCATTTAAGGTGAGAAGTTGTCATATGGTGTTCAGATCCTTACTACTATTTATTAGCTGTGTGAACCTGGGCAGGTCACTTAATCTCTCTAGGCCTCAGTTTCCTTATCTGTAGAATGAGTGGATTAGACTCAGTGAACCCTATATCTGTGATTCAGTGATAGATTCTGCTCTCAGCAAAGGAGAAGCCAAGGGTGCGGGTGAGGGGCCACAGAGCCAAAGGAGATGGCCTTGAGAGGTGAGCACGGGAGGTGGTACCAGACAGTCTAGTGCCTTGGGCCTTCTCAAGCTTCCCTACTTCTCCCTAACTGAAAGGAATGGCAGAGGGGATGGAAGCACCTTAGGGGAGGGGGAAACAACTGTCCCTGCTGATGGAGTGCCTGAGGCAGAAAGGAGGGGGCCCAGGCTGCCTGGGAGGACAGATGGTGAGTTGGGCTCACAGCACTTGAAGCAAAATGGATATTAATGAAATAGGGACCCTGATGCTGTTGCAGCCTCTTGGCCCCTCCCTCCGCCCCTCACTTCCCAATGGCTTTGTGTGAGGTGTGATACAATTTTAAAAGGCTAAAGCATAGACCAGGACTTTTTATTTTGAGGAGGGGGGGGGTTGCTCAGTCAGCCATCCCTGTACACATTCCCCTGGACAAAGAATTCAAAGGGTTAATTTAGAGCCCCAAAAGGTTGTGGGGGTGGGGTTGGAGGAGAGAGTTCTGAATATTTATGACACATTGAAATGTAGATTGGTGGGTCTGAGAATCCTCACCATCCACTTGTCTGTCACTTCCATGATTAAATCCCAATCCTCCTTCCTTGCTCTAAGAAAGGGTTTCATTGGGGTGGGGCCCTTGTTCCAGAACTGAGAGTACAACAAGAGACTGCAGAAAGTGGAGTGCAGATGAGATGCTCCCAGGACCTGGGTTAACATCTAGTAATAGTATAAACAAGACTGAATTGGAAGTAAGATGAGCTGGGTTCTAGCTTTTGTCCAGGATATGGGTGCAGAAGAGGTAGACACAAATTGCTATTAGGGAGGGGCTTGAGGAAGGTCAGAGATGATGTGGTGCATAGGAATGAGTGCTGAATTTGGAGTCAGATGACAGAGGTTCAAATCCCCACCCCACTACCTAATACCTGTGTGATCTTGGCCTAACCTCTTCACCCCTCTGAGTACCAAGTTGTGGATTTTTTCCTGTAAAATGAGGGTATTGGACCAGATCAGGGGTTCTTACCTTTTTTTGTGTCATGGACCCCTTTGGCAGTCTATTGAAATCTATGGACCCCAGTCACAAAATTGTGAAATGCATAGCACATGAAGGAAAGCAGTTATGTGGAAATAAAGATGTAGCTCCCCATCCAATTCACTGACTCCTTTAAATCTATCCAGGGACCCTAGGTTAAGAACCTTTGGATAGATCTGAGGTCCCTTTGAGTTCCAGTAATCATCTTTCCAGTGGTGGGGAGACGAGAATGAAGACTTCAGTGAGGTGATGTTTTGGGGGCATGAAGGATTGAGAGCATTTCAAGGCATAATTATTACTGAAGTTGAAAGAAGGAAACTGAACCGAAGGTGTGAAACCTATGCACCCAGACTCAGAGGTAGGAAACGGCAATACAGATACAAGGACGGTGTGAGTTGTCCAACCAGCCAATTAATCAATTGATCAACCAGCATTTATTAATTGAGTACTATATGCTAGGCACTGAACGAATCTTTGGGGATACAAAGACAAAAATGAAACAGGCCTGCCCTCAAGGAACTTACATTCTAAATAGAGAGACAATACTACATGTTATTGACATTTAGAATATGCAGTGGCTTTTTACATCCCTTAAATTTCCCCCTTGTGGCCTTCCTTTTTTTTTCCAGAGATCCATCACATATATAGCAAAGGATTAAAAAAAAAAACAACCCAGTGAAAAATCATTAAAAACTAATCAATACACACACAGAAATCTGAAAATATTTGCAGCTTTCCACATCTACAACATCTTCTCTGATCTATTCTTTGGGGACATTCTCATTCTTTGTAGTTTTACAATATTCCTTTTCTAAATTTTTCTTTCCATTTACATTTTTGTAATCTTTGCACACACCTATAAATGCAAAAGCTACAACCAGGAATGAGGTAGTATCTGGAGGAATGTCATTGCAGAGCTCTTCCCATGACCCTCTCTGAGTCAAATCTTTGATGCCCTTCCTGACCCCCATTTCCCTTCCTTCCCCTCCTGTCTCCTGCCAGCCATGTCGGACTTTCATGTGCACCCGCAGGCCACGGTAGGTGAGGAGGGTGGAGTGGCCAGGTTCCAGTGCCAGATCCACGGGCTTCCCAAGCCCCTCATCCTGTGGGAGAAGAACCATATCCCCATTGACACAAGAAATGACAGGTGAGTGAGAGGGAAACTAACAAAGACACAAATTGATGGTGGTCACGGGTAGCTGTTGGAGATATTAATGACCGTGAGGATAGCTATCTGTACTGAGGTTTGTGCTGTGAGGTCACTGTGTAGCCCTGCGTAGAAGAGTACATTTGCAAATGTTATTGTGTACGTGACTGAGTTATAATGGAATTAGCAGGAAGCCTGGCTCTACTGTCAAATACAGGACTACTTCATTTGTCTGGAGTGCAGTTTCTTCACATAAAATGGGGAGTGGGTAGATATCTTGTACTACCTATCTGTGGATCCTTTTAGCTATAGATTTCTTTTAAGAATGTTTTACTGTTGTCCTTTTCAAATATCACTGTTATTTCCCAATGATTCCTTCCCCTATAATAATGTAATCCTCAATGGTAACAATGAGTCACAAACAAAATAAATCAACACATCGACCATATCTAAAAATGTATGCCTTATTCCGCACCCAATGGCTACCACCTCTCTTCTCCCCCTGAAGTCTTCTGTAGTCACAGGTGTACATAATACAGTGCAGTCACTGTACTGATCCAAGACCAGAAGTCTTCAGAGTATGGTTTTCTTTTCCATTTTTATGGTCATTATGTAAATTGTCCTGGCTCTTCTAACTTCACCTAACATCAGTTCACATTCCCAAGTTTCTCTGAATTACTCACATTCATTATTTTATGGTGCAATAATATTCCATTGAGAGGTAGCATGACGAAGTGGATAGAGAAGCGACCTTGAAGCCGTCAGGATCTGGGTTCAAGTTCTGACGCATACTGGCTATGTGACCCTGTGCTGCAGGAGATTAGGGTCATTTAACCTCTGTCTTTTAGGCAACTCTCCAAGGCTATGAGTTGCATTAAGGGTGCAAAAGGAAACTGCAGAAAATGGGGTGCAGATGAGATGCTCCTGGAACCTTGGTTAATATCTAACTATAGTCAGAAGAAGACTGAACTTGAAGTAAGAGGCCATGGGCTCCAGCTTTTGTCCATGGATAAATGCAAAAAAGAGGTAGATACAAAATGGCTTAAGGGTTTGAAGAAGGCAAGAGGTCATGTGGTATATTGGAATGATTGCTGAATCTGGAGTCAGAGAACGAGGTTCAAACCTGACTCTGGCACTTTCTAACTGTAGAACCTCGGCCAAGCCCCTTCATTTCTCGGAGCCCCAGTTTGACTCTATATGGAGGGATTAGGGTGGCTGTATTGGTAGAGGGACTTTCCTCATCTGGGAATTCCTTACGCCAATGATGGAGTCCCTATGTCTAATATTCCATTACCTCACATACAATGACTTATTTGGCCATTCCCCAAACAATGGGAAACCACTTTCCTTCCTGTTTTTTGTTTTTACATATATGAGGCCTTTCCCTCTCTCTCTGACCTCATTGAGTTATAAAATGCTGTCGCAGTCTCTCGGATCTGGGCTATGCCTGTGAATAGAATCTGCCTATGGCTGTGACTGGCTTCTTGCCTGGGACTTTGCATCTGTGACTGTGATGGACTGTGTGTCTCTGTCTTTGACTCTGGCAGGTACACTCTGCTGCCTAAAGGCGTCCTGCAGATCACAGGGCTTCGGGCTGAGGACAGTGGCATCTTTCACTGCGTGGCCTCCAACATTGCCAGTGTCCGAGTCAGCCGGGGAGCCAGCCTTACCGTGTCAGGTGAGAGAGTTCCACCTGCTCCTCCTCTTCCCCCCTACTTACTACTTCCCATGCCCTCATGGATGATTCCCATGGCCCCTGGATAATTACCCTAATCCCTTCTTACCCACTACCCTACTATTAATTATGATGATTATTAGAATTTTAATAGCTAGAGCTCTAATTAACATCTTGGTTTTTTAAATGATTTATTTATTTTTAGTTTTCAACATTCACTTCCATAAGATTTTGAGTTTTATATTTTTTCCTCCTCCCTCTCTTCCTCCCTCCCCGAGATGGAGTGCAATCTGATACAGGCTCAACATCTTGTTTTTTACAGAGGTCTTATGGGCGCCTTTTTTACATCACAAGTCATATTTGGAAATACACCATGCCACCTCCATTTACCGATTGAATCCTCCCTTATAACAAAGATAAATAATTAATCGAAAACAGCCAATCCAATGACCTTTCCAACAACCTGGCTGTAATAGTCCCCAGCCTCTCTGCTGAGATGATCCTTTTATTGACTATTCCTTGTTTCCTCCCATTCACTAATTCATTTGCTGCTAACTATCCTCTAATTCAGTGGTTCTCCAAGTGTGGTCTGGAGACTCTCGAGGGTCCCCAAGATGCTTTCAGGGGGTTCTCAAGGTCAAAATTATTTTCGTAATAATATTGTTGTTTTCATTTCTGATAGTTACTATTGATAGATATATAAACAAAAGCTCTTTGGGATCCTCAATCGTTTTTAAAGGTGTAAAAGGGGACCAAAGATTGATAACCATTGCTGTAGTTAATAGAAACAAACAGAACACCTACTTATTGAAGAGTGTTGTCCAACTTTCTGTGGGGGGTCCGTAAGAAAGGGAAGACATAGTCCCTGCTCTCAGAGAGCTGTTACTCTAGCTAGAGGAAGCCCATCTCCTAATTACCAGCTTGACCTAATGGGATGAGGCTGCAATGATATAGTTGCCTGTGAGGCAGTTAGGTGGTAGAGTAAATAGACTATTTGCCTTGGAGTCAGGAAAACCTGACTTCAAATCCTGCCTTAGATACTTATTGCATGGCCCTGGGCAAGTCACTTAACCTTTCTCAGTCTTAGGTTCCTTATCTGTAAAATCGGAATAGTAATAGTGGCCACCACATGGGACTGCTATGAGGATAAAGAACACTTAAAGTGCTTTGCAAATCTAGGACTGCAGGCATAGCTAGATTGAGGTGACTTTGAAGCCAGACTTTGGGTCATCCTGGACTCAGCCAGGAGATGCTCAGACCTTCAGAGTATCTCTGGAATGCCCTAGGTGACCCTAACTTCAGAGTGGCCTCTGGGGCCTGGGGAGTCAGGGGACTTGGGGCCCAACTCTATCTTCTCCATCATTCCACTGTCTGAGCTGAGGCCTTGTTTCCACAAACAGGGGACAGGGGAGTTCATTCTGAGACAGTCTTCCCATGGCTGGTGGCTCTATTTTCCCTCAGTTCTAGACTGTAGAACGGGTCTTTTGGAGTTCCAGCATGGAGAACTTTGTTCTGCCTCCTTCTCTGTTGCTTGTGCATGCCGAGTTGTCAGAGTTGGGGTCCAGGGATGGTGTGATTCCCACTGTGGCTCTTCGCTAAGTCATGAGGGAGGACGTGGTGGTGTCTTCCCAGGCTCCGGCTCCAGTGCCTACAAGGAGCCCACGATCCTCGTGGGGCCTGAGAACTTGACCCTGACTGTACACCAGACAGCTGTGTTGGAGTGCGTTGCCACAGGCAATCCCCGTCCCATCGTGTCTTGGAGCCGCCTTGGTGAGCCCTGTTCTCCCACCCCCATCCCCTAAACCCTGAAGTGCCTGGTCTTGCCCAGTTACTTGGAGATTCCAACTCTTATTTGTTCTGTGTGGCATCTGTACTCTTTATGGGTGGTGGGCCAGTTACTTGACCCTGTATGATGAGATGTGGGTGGCTGGGCGAGCTCTTGGATCCTCTGGCCCTGGGATCAAAGGTCATAGTGTTTGGGTTCCATCCTACCTTATCCTATGGCTAACCTTAGCCCCACCCCCTACCATTCCTACATCCCACTGGCATTTGATACCCAGAACCCTAGCTGTACCTGGCCCCTTGTAGTACTAGGACGCACAACTCTCTATTTTCAGCCCTTCAGTCTAACCCTGCTCCCAGCCAGATTTCAATCTCTGCTAACCCTATGGGACTATTGTCCTAGCCTCTCAGTCCTTGCCTGGAGCCTCTGTCCTGCTCTGAACTCTCACCAGCCCCCTCTAATCTCCAACTCCTAAGCTTCTAGTCCCAGCCTTCCAATTCCTGGGTGCCCCCAGCTCCCCCTCCCCACCTCCACTAGGATTCACTTCCCCCAGCCCCACTGCCTGAACCCTTGAGTTGCTGAAGGAAAGAGGGAAGAAAGGGTGACCGTGGGCCACCAGCAGCCCTGAGAAAGGGGAAAAGGAGGTGGGAGGGGTTGGGGGAGGGTGGGTAGGTATTCATGAAGGAGACTGTGCCACATTGTAGCAGCCAAGTAATTGGTAACTGGGGTGGGGGGATGGATAATAGAGTAAATTTCACCACTTCAGGAGCTGAATGGGGAGCTGTCCATGTGTATTATGACTGTACTAATCCGCTCCTGGGGAGGGGGAGTGCTCAGGTCCCAGGGCAAGGAGCTGGACAAAGGAATCCTAACAAGCTAAGTGACCATTAGGATGCTGCTGCTGCCACCCCATCCTCCTTCTCCCCCCCCAACCCCTACTGCTATTGCTGCAGGATGCCATTGAGAGAATCCCATTATGTTAGAATTGGAAGAGACTGTCTAGCCTAGACCTCTCAATTTACAGAGGGGGAAACTGAGGTACCAAGAGGTGATACACCTTGCCTAAAGTCATAGCTTGTCAGTGACTGAGATGGCATGAGAACTAGGACTTTTAACATCTGAGTTAGTATTCTTAACAATTTTGTCATGCTGTTTCTTTCATCCTCTAACCTGAGGAGAACATAAATCAAAAGGTCAGGGTGTCACCATTCTTTGGGAAAACGGTGGGGGTGGGGATTGTGAGACAAGCTTGAGGTCTCCTCCCTCAGGGAGTTGATACCACTATCTCCCCTCTTGATGCCTCTCTGACTCTACTCTCCCCCCTTCTCCCACCCACTTCCATTCCCATCTTCTGTCTAGATGGCCGTCCCATTGGAGTGGAGGGGATTCAGGTCCTGGGGACAGGGAACCTCATCATCTCTGATGTCACTGTCCAGCACTCCGGAGTCTATGTCTGTGCTGCCAACAGGCCTGGCACAAGGGTACGACGTACGGCCCAGGGCCGGCTTGTAGTTCAAGGTATGGACTTAAAGGGGAGAGTAAAGAAGCCGGGAGCTGTCTTCCTTAGCCCCATCACTCATTCCCTTCTTTGATCGTCATCTGAATTCCCACCCCTCATCCTCATTTCCATTCCATATCCCCAAACTCACCTCTCACCCTATTTCCCTATCCCTTGTCCCTCATCCTTCATCCCTATTTCTGTCCTTTCCCCCCCCCCATTTCTCAATCCCATCCCTTATCTCCATCCCTCATCCCCACCTCTTTACTCCCATCATTTCTATGCTCACTACTGCAGGCTCCCAGACTTATGGAATCTTTCTCTATATGCCCACATTCTTTCCACTTACCCTTATAGTACCATTACCATATAGTAATCATCAGTTCCATCACTATATTGTGTCACACATGGGGTCAAGAACAAAAACCAGTCACATTGTATCTAAACCCAAAGGGGCCATCAGATCTGCGTGAATCCTTGCCTCCACAGTAAGCTACCCTTCAGAGTCAGAGCCTGGACCCATATTTCAGTTTTCAGGGTTAATCCTTGGTTGTTTCCTCATGAGAGCTGTGGGTAGGAGATGGGGGTAAAGAGAAAATTAGTGACTTAAATGCTTGCTTGTTTAGCATTCCACGTGCTACTAATCTGTCTAAATGAAAGTGACGGAGCATTTCATTTGGAGAGTGTTAATGGAGCCTTCTGCCTCAGGATTGGTGGGAAGTGGAATGCAGCAGGCGGGTAGCAGGGGGTGGTGCTCATGGCCCATCCATCTTCTAAGTCATTATAGTCTGCAAGGAACAGCCAAACCTATTAGCACATTTATTTATTTAACAATTTCCGAATGGGGAGCTCAGCTTGATCGTTTTCAGATAGAAATGTCAGGCATTGGCATTAAAGTGGAAGCATCTCTTGTATGTGCCTGGAGAAGGGGCCAGTCAGGATGTTCCCAGATTCTGCACAGGGCCCCTTAACTCCCAAATCTCTCACCTCTCACCAACCCCCTTTCTCTCCATTTCCACCTGATAGAGGACAGAATCGTGGAATGTGTATTTGCTGGGGGTTAAGGGAACCAGATGAAGGGGCAGGGAGGATCAGGGTCAGTGGTGACTGAGATGGAAAGAGCAAGACACAATAGCAGGAGAAACTTAGGATGGAGAAAGATGGCAGGTCTGGGAGCCTTAGGATATGGAAGAGCCCCTTTTTTTGGTCATTGGAGATGAGCCATATTGTTCCTGAGCCTGTCCTGTCATGCAGGACTTTTTAATTCCTGCCCTTTTCCCTTCTCATTTCCCTGCCTCCATATCCTTACCCTTCCTCTTCTTCATGCCTGTCTCTGTCTCTCACCAGCCCCTGCAGAGTTCATCCAGCATCCCCAGTCCATCTCTCGGCCAGCTGGAACCACGGCAATGTTTACCTGCCAGGCCCAGGGGGAGCCACCCCCCCATGTCACATGGCTGAAGAATGGACAAGTCTTGGGCCCTGGAGGCCACGTTCGTCTCAGGAACAATAACAGGTACCAGCTATGTTCAGAACAGAAAGGTGTGAGTTTGAATGATAGAGGAGGGAGGGGCAGATCCAAGAGGGTGTCCTAGAGTAAATGGTTGCTATGTGAATATAGATGGGGCTCTTTAAGCAAACCCTATACTGTATTTGGAAACTTGAGTGGATGGTAGGGTGAGAGAGGGTTCAGTGGATAATTTTACTATACAGAAGGATTCTTGGCTTTTCTGAAATTGTTGTCTCAGACTCACCATACACCAACATTCCTGGGGTATTTAAATTGATGATTTCACTTACAAAATCCAATTTGCATACAACTTTTTAGAAAACATGTATGTAACCTGTGGCTCAAAAGTCTGGATTCACATGGACCTGAGTTAACATCCTAGAGGCTTCCTAATCATAAATCTCTTTGGTTCATGCTCCCATTCAGGATTTATCTGGGGAAAGCAGGATTTGCCTTGTATCTAAATGGATACTCAACTTCCATGCAAGCACTAAAGCTAACAAAACATCAAAGACAGGGCAAGTTTTAATCTAAGAAAAGTGCAAAGAACTGGTACCTGAGCCCTTAAATAGTGAAGACAACTCCACTTTCCTTTCCATTGGGCCTCATTGTTCTCTCCTATAAGGAGAGTTAACTCAGGATTACTATAGAAGAAAATAACCCTGCCCTTTGAGATCCATTTTTTTAAAATGTAGTAGTAGTAGTTAGTAGTAGGAGTAGGAGTAGGAGTAGGAGTAGTAGTAGGAGGAGGAGGAGTAGTAGTAGTAGTAGTAGTAGTAGTAATGATAACAATTTCTAACATTTATATAGCACCTACTCTGCCTAGGCTCTGTGTTAAGTGCTTTACAAATATTATCTCATTTAATCCTCACAACAACTCTAAGAGGTATTGTTATACCCATTTTACAGATGAAGGACCTGAGGCAAAGAGAGGTTAAATGACTTGCCCAGGAGTACATAGCTAATAAGTGTCTGAGGCCAGATTGACCTCAGGTCTTACTGACTCCAGACCCAGTGTTCTATCCATTGGGCCATCTAAATTCACTGTCCCCTGTTCCCCTTAAAAGCCAAGTCCAAAAATCACAACTTAAGTGAGTGAACCAGCCATGAACTTGAGTCAGTGCCAGAACAGAATTCTTAGGGAATTCACTTCTTGTTTAGGAAGTCCACAAGAAGATAGATGAGGCTTATCAGATGTCTCTAGAGGACTGGGGCATATGACATAGATAGGAGATAGAAAGGAAAGGAGGAAGGGAGGAAAGAAAAGGCAGGAAGGAAGGATGAAAGGGAGGAAAGGAGGAAGAGGAAGGGATAACATAGGGATAACAAGAGGAAGGGAGAGAGGAAAAGAAGGAAGGATGAAAGGGAGGAAGGGAAGAGGGATAACAGGGATAAAATGGGGATAACAAGAGGAAGGAAAGGAGGAAAGGAAGGAAGGAGGAAAGGAAGAAGGAAAAGAGAGAAGGATGGAAGGAAAAGAAAGACGGAAGGGTAGAAGGGGAGGGAATAACATAGGAATAAAGTGGGGATAACAAGAGGAAGGAAGGGAAGAAAGGAGGAAGGGGAGGACAGGGGTGAATCGTCTGTAATCAGCAACATAGTGATGTCTCAGTGTATATGGAGAACTACTCATAAGAGCTTACTTTCACATACAAGGTCGTGTCTTCATTTAACCAGAATAGAGAGCTGCACACAGCAATGGGTATGATCGAAAGAAACCATTCTTAAGAAGCAAAAGAACTGGGTTCTGGTCTTGACTTTTCTGCAGACTCAGCCTTAGTCTCAGCCTTAGTTTCTTCATCTGAAGCAGATGGGGTTAATGACAGCTGCTGTATCTGCCTATAGGAATTCTGTGAGATCTAACAGAAAAAGGCATGACATAGTTAATAGAGGGCCAGCCTTAGAATCTGGAAGCCCTGAGTTCAAGTGTAGACAATTTATTTAAGTTCTTAGTGCCCCAGGCAACTCTTTTTAGATTATGAGTTAAATGAATAGCTGACCTGTATCAATAGGGGAAGGTTCTACCTCTGGAAGACCCCCAGACGGATGAAGTCACAAGTTTTGTGATTTCGAAATGACAAAGTGGATATAAAAAACACACTTTGGAGAGTTCCAAGCGGCATCCACAAAGGAGAACAGGATGGTTCTCCATTCTACTGCAGTTATTCACTGTCTCTCCTTCCTTCCAGCACACTGACCATTTCGGGGATTGGCCCTGAAGACGAGGCCATCTACCAGTGTGTGGCGGAGAACAGTGCTGGCTCCTCCCAGGCCAGTGCCCGGCTGACTGTGCTGTGGGCCGAGGGACTCCCAGGCCCTCCCCGGGATGTACGTGCAGTCTCTGTGTCTGCCACCTCTGTCCGTGTGTCCTGGAGTGAGCCGCTGCTAAACACCAAGGAGATCATTGGCTACGTCCTGCACATCAGGAAGGCAGCAGGTGGGTCCGGAGGTGGCATCCTTCAACTGGAATCTCCTTGTCTTCTTCTTCCTCTCTTTACCCCATTATTTTGGGGCTCTCCTCCTCCACCCCCAATCCTGGTTCTCCCCTTCCTTCTCTATCAGCTGGTCAATGAATATCAATTAAGCACCTGCTGGGCGCCAGGCACTGAGCTAGGCAGCCAGTCTCCTTTCTCTACATCCGTACACCCCTGCAGCTCCTGCACTGGCTTTCTCTCCCTATCTTGAATACTCCCTACTTACCTCCCATGTTCCGAGTCTCCACGTTTTCCCCTGCTGATCTGCCTCTCTGAATCTTGCTCTCTTCCCAAGGCCTCCCTTTGGGGTCTTATGCTCTTTCCTCTACTCATCCCGCTCCTCAGATCCCCCTGAGCTGGAATATCAAGAAGCTGTTAGCAAGAGCACCTTCCAGCAGCTGGTGAGTGACCTGGAACCTTCAACGAGCTACAGCTTCTACATCAAGGCCTACACTCCCCGAGGAGCCAGCTTGGCCTCTGTCCCCACCCTGGCCAGCACTCTGGGAGAGGGTAAGAACTGGACCCTAGGGTGAAGGGGAGGGGACGTGGGAAAAGAACCAGAATCCTAAAGCCCGAGGCGGTGACCAGGGAGTAAGCTGGGTCTCAGGGGCAGGGGAGGAAGGTGCTAGGAAGGCTGGGCTGGTGACCTTGTTTGTGCCCTGAAGGATAAGGAGGACCCAGTGCTTACATTTAATTTTTTTTTCTTTTTTTGTCTCTGTCTTCTTCTAATCCCACCTACCCCTCTCCAGTTCCTGCCCCACCACCACTCTCTATCCGGGTTCTGAGTAGCAACTCTGTCCAGTTACAATGGGAGCTGCCCCCCAAGCTGACACAGCACGACGGTGGTTTCAAGGTTTTTTACCGCCCAGCAAGTCAAGCACTCTTCACCGGTCCCATTGTACTGCCAGGAACTCTCACAGCCTACAACATCACCCAGCTGGGTAAGGTAGCCAGGGAGTCTCACCACCTACCTGAGGGTATCTAACCTCACAATTTTGTCAGGGAGGGGAATGATATGAGATGGGTGGTATGGTCAGTAATGTGGGTAAGGGCCCTGGTACTCAGTGCTAATAAAGATGCGTGTGTTTTAGTGTGGTTAGTAAAGGAGCTATGTAGTTACTATGAACCAGCATGTGGTGGCCATGTGGTCAATAAGGGGTAGTTTGTGATGGTCATTGAGAGCTAGTGTGGTGGGAAAGGGGTAGTGTAGGTATAGTGTATAAAATGGGGATAACAAGAGAAAGGAAAGGAGGGAAGTGAAGGAAGGAGGGAGGAAAGGAAGAAAGGAAAAAGGGGAGGAAGGAAGGAAAAGTCTTACCCCAAGTCTTCATTCAATAACAAATATTTACTAAGCATTTGTTATATATACAACAATAAAAGGCATGAAGAATATTTTCAGTTGTTTTTAGTCACATCCAACTCTTCGTGACCCCATTTGGGGTTTTCTTGGCAAAGATACTAGAGTGGCTTGCCATTTCCTTTTTCAGTGTGTCCCCATTTTATAGATGAGAAAACTGAGGCAAACAGACTTAAGTGACTTGCCCAGGGTCACAGAGCTAGTGTTTGAGGCCAGAATTGAATTCCTGATTCTAAGCCCAGTGTTCTATCCACTGCGCCACCTACCTGCTCCATGAGGAAGATGTAAACCTTAAATTAATTTACAGTCTAATAATAGGGGATGACGCAAGTAGAGATAACCATAATATACTAGGTTACATGCTAAATGCTTTAGAGGGATGCAAACAAAGGGCTGTGTGAGGTGATTCCCAACGGGATGATTGAGGAACGCCTTTATGAAGGGGGCAGCATTTGAGTTGAGGCAGGTAGGAATTCAGCAGGTGTAGAGGGGAAGGAAGTGTATTCCAGGCACAGGAAACATGATGGGCAAAGGTACAGAGCCTGGGAAGTGGAGGGCTTGTTCAGGGGACAGACAGTAATAGAGTGTGGCTAGAACACAGATTCTATGGAGGTTATCAATAAGAGATGAATCTGGCAAGAAAAGGTAACACTGGATCGTGGAAGGCTCTAAACGTCAGACAATGAAACAGTACTCAGTAGGCAACAGGGAACAAGCGTAAGGTTTTGAGCAGAGGAGTGACCTGTGGAGATCTGTACATCAGCAAGGTTAGTTTGGTAGCTATGAGTGGGCTATTGATCATTCCTGTCATTCCTTCCTAAAACGAGGTCTCTGGTTTCCCAGATTATGCCCAGAACCCTCTGGCCCTAAGAAGACAAATCAGCCTACTATGGGCTGGTTTTGTCCCTGTGTCTGCTCTAAGGAGCCCCTCTCTTCCTGCCCACAGATCCAACTGAGGTGTATGAAGTGAAGCTTCTGGCCTCCAACCAACACGGGGATGGCAATGCCACTGTCCGATTTGTGTCTCTGAGGGGAGCCTCTGAGAGGACAGGTAAAGGGAAACAGAGAACAAGAGGGAGACATATGGGCAAGGAAGTTGAGAAGGCCTGGGGTGATTTGGCACCCTGCAGGATTAGAATGTGGGGTTGTGGGCCAGGGGTCCCAAGTTGGCTGGAGCTCCACTTGGCTCCAAGCTCTGCCCAGACTAATAGCTGAGATTGTGTGTGTGGCTGGGGGGAAGGAGGGAGCAGGGAGATCCTAGAGACTGAGCCACTGGAGGCCCCCTAACCTGGCCCTCTCTGCTCCGTTCTTGTTTTAGCACTGGGCCCCCCCTGTGACTGCAGGAAAGATGAGACGAGTAATAAGACTTCCGCCACAGGCATCATCATCGGCATCCACATTGGAGTCACCTGCATCATTTTTTGTGTCCTCTTCCTTATGTTTGGCTACAGGGGCAGGTAGGGGCCAGAGTGGGACAGGGATGGGGAGGGAGAGGAGAAGAAAAGAGAGGAGAGGAAGGAGCAGGACGGTTACTGGAGGAGAGGGTTTTCTGACTTGTGCTGCCAGGGGTCCCGGCTCAGGAGGGAGACAACTTTTTCCTACAGGGTCTTCTAACCACAGGGAGGGGAGGATTTGGTTGGGTTTTGTGCCCAAGCCAGAGACACCCGGCCTGGCCGTGGAGGAAGGATCAGGTTAGGTGGAGGATGGCCAGAAAGTGATGGACAGAGGTTCCGTCTAGTCGCTTTATTCATCTAGCTTATTCCATCTCTCCTTTTTCAATCATCTGTTTTTAACCTGCCTTTCTAATTTCTCTTTCACTCAATACTTCTCATTCACTTTTTTAAAAAAAATAAAATGTTATTACTATCTTTTGTTTTTACATCACCTAAAGTTTCTCCTGTATCCCTCCGCCTCTCCTCTCACAGTCATCCCTTATAACAAAGAATTTCATTCATTCTTTCAGTCTTTCTCATTCTTTCTTCCAATTCTTTGATCACTCTGTTTCTATGAGCCTCTCTCTCCTTCCCCTCACATCTGTGTCTCAGTATGTCCTTCTTCTCATTGTTTGTCTCTGTATTGCATCTTCCCAATGAAACATAAGGTTCTTAAAGGTCAGGTGTTGCTTCATTTTTTTTTTTTACCCCATCTCTAGTCCACTTCCCGGCATGTAGCAGATGCTTAATAAGGGACTCTTCAATTGAATCATGCACGTCTCTCTCCCCAGGCTCCTTCAATGTAAGGATATGGAGGATCAACTATCCCCACCCCAGGGGCCCCGGACCCAGAGAGACATAGGCATTTTGGCTCTGAATGGAATGGGCCAAGGAGACCAAGGCCAGCTCAATGGGGATGAGAAGCGTCTGGATCTGAATGAACTGGAGCAGCTATTTCCACACTCTCTGGGTTCAAGGCAGCAGGGCAGCAGGCTTATGGTAAGTCAGCAGGGAAACTGGCAATACTAGTGTCTACTTACTAGGCATTGAGTATGGTGTTCCCTGCAGAAGTATTAATGTCCTGCCTGATTCACTTGTGACCAACTGACTGATGGAGGACTCCCAGCCTCACCACTTAGGGCCAATCTCAAATCTCAGCCACTGCCCTTGCCCAAGATCCTTCCAGACCCTAACTCCCATTGTGGGCAGTCGCTCCTTGGTCTTTACACCAGGCAGCTGAGGTCCAGAGAAGCTAAGCCAGCTACCTGGGGTCATGCATCAGTGAATGAATGAAAAAAAATCAAGCACTGATCATGTACAAAGCATTGTACTAAGTACTTTTGGATACCAATAGAAAAATAAGCCCATCTCTGCTCTCAGAGAGCTCACTTTCAAATTGGGGAAGACAACAGGTATGGGAGAGTTTAGCTGCAGGGTGAATGGAAAGGCACAGTGGGCCAAAGGGTAGAGCAGATGAGCCCTTAGGGTATCTCGGTGGATTTTAGTGGCAGAGCCGATGGTGATGCCTGGTTGTCTTCCATCTTACTAAAGGATTCTAATTGGTTAGTCTCTGTTTATACAAGTAATGCAAGCATTGGGTGACTGTTGGGAAGCGAATGAAGTGTGGGTTCTGAGTTCCCTCCTATGGGGGGTGGTGGAGAGGATGGGGAGTGGCATATGTCATAAACCAACTGGGAAGGAAGAAGGGAGGGCAGCTAGGTGGCTCAGTGGATAGAGCACCAGCCCAGGAGTCAGGAGGACTTGAGTTCAAATCTGGTCTCAGACTCTTGACCCTGACTAGCTGTGTGATCCTGGGTAAGTCACTTAACCCCATTGCCTAGCAAAAAAAAAAGTTCAGGAAGAAGGGGACACTGGCAGGAAAGTTGGGGTAAGGATCTCACAGTGCCTGCTCCTCCAGTCCTCCTGGTGCTTGTACGGAACTGGGTGGTAGGGGCAGGAGAGGGGAAGTACATTCTGAGGCACCTGCCTCTACTATAGCAAGACATAAGCAGCCCATGCATTAAACTGACAAGGCACTCGGTCTTGGTGAACTGTAGCTTCCCTATGGAGGGCTGGAGTTAGTGGGGAGGTACTGTTTCTAATATTGCCCTTTCCCTCTTCCCTTAGCTGGACCCTGGATCCCCAGCCCCATGTGATGAGACCCAGCTCTCCACTCTCCCACCTGATGAACTCAGCATACTGGAAGAACAGATAACTGAGATGGCCTGTTTGGCTGCAGGCATCCCACCCCAAAGGGATGGAGCCCCCAGCCCCAGTCCCACCAATGAAGGATAGTTTGCCAAGTCTCACCATACCCCCTCCGAGATGCCGCAGCTGGCCGCATTTGGACAATAGCCAGTGTTGGTCAGGCTCTGGATGGTGACTTCTTAAATCTCAGGTCAAAGGAATGATTTCTTCTATCAAGCTGTGTCTGACCAGAGCCTCCAAAGGCATTCCCCAGTCTTGTCTGGGCTGGAGGCCACTGCTAGGGAATATACCCTCTTTTCCTTCAGGTCATTTAGGCCTGATCCTCCTGCAAGAGATGCTTCCACGGGAGTAATGTGGAGAGGGAGTCTCCCCTGGCAATCCTTGTGGCCAGCTCCCTGATACTTCTCATGACTCGGGATTAATTTTCTTAAAAAAAAAACAAACTAAAAAGAGAGAGAGAGAGAGAGAGAGAGAGAGAGAAGAGAGAGAGAGAGAGAGAGAGAGAGAGAGAGAGAAAGGAAGGTGAATCCTTCTAATGTGACTGTAAAAATAATGCTCCCTCCTCCTTCCCTCATCATCCTTAGCCCTGGCTGGGTCCCTCTTATACTGTTGTCCTCCCAACTGACTCCGTCCCACCCTGGCCAAGTGGCTCTGTTCACTTCCTCTTTTCTCAGGATGGTTTTTGGCTGTGTTGACTCTTGACTTCAAAGTGTCGGAGGCACCTCAGCACCTACCTCAGCCGGAATGAATGTCCTTGGGGGAGGGGAGGTCCAAGGACCCACCCCTCCAACCCCATAGAGCCCTATAGGAGCTTGGTCCTTGCTCTATCCTACCTCAGGTCCTGGCTTTGGGCCCCCAAGCTCCCGGGCCTCATTTAGTCCAGATATAAAGAGAAAAAAAAAAGCACTTCTAGGCGCAAAAGCAAAATTTTTTCTACCTCAAGGTTCACTCCAGGTCACTTGTTTGTGTCTCTGGGCCTCCTGTCCTCCTTCGGTCTTCTTCCTCCCTTCTTCTGCCTCCAATCGAGCCATCCTCGCTAAAGAAGGCTCCCTGGATCTGCTGTGAGAGGAGAAAGGGGAGATGGAGTTGTCTATCCCATAGAGACGCTATCCCTTTCCCACTCGTCCTCTACCCCACCCCTGTCCTTGCATAAAGACTTTTTTTTTAAAGAAAGAATTTGAAAAAGGAAAAAATATGAACCTGAAAACCCTGGTGACAAATTCTCATGGTTATCTCCCCCACCGCAATGAACCATCTCCTACCCTCAAAGTCATCCTCAATCATTGCCACTCCTAGATACTCCCCTCTCTTTCATCTAGTTTCCAAACTCATTTGCCTCCGTTCCATTACAATTGCACATCCATCCTATCTCTAGACTCCTCCACTGATCTCTATCTCAGCCCCTAACCAACTCACCGCACTCCACTTTTATCCCCATACCCAGTCCTGACCCCACTTCTACCTTATCCCTACAGTCTCCCCCTGGCCCAGCTCCCACCGTGGTACTTCTCCCCCATCTCCATTTGCTCACATCCAGGCATGGATCCCAGTGATTGGAGGTAGATGGAGTAGACACCCTAGAATGTACTATGATTGCGATGAGTGTGTGTGTGGGGGGTGTTAATGTACATGCCTAGGCAAAGACCCCCTGAGGCACTAGCTAGGCCTCCCCACCCTGCCCCACCTGGGCAGTTGGCATGGCCTCCATTGCCAGATATTGGGCTGAAGCTATTTTTAAATGGTGGCATGGCCAAGGTTTAAATTTTCATGGTCTGTTTGGGTTTTGTTTGGTTTTGTTTGTGATTGCTCAATGAACAGAAGTGAGAAGAAATAAATTAACTATTTTTGATTAAGCACAGAAACATTTTAATAGCAAAAAAGTAACCCCACCCTTTTAAAATGTACCCCTCAAATATGAAAGATTAGACTATTAGGGTCCTGTCCTCCAACCCTACCCCTTTCCCTCATTAGCTAATTAGGTTAAAGAACTGTGGTGTTGTAATAGCAGTAGGGTTGTATATCCATGGGGATTCAATGGGTAATACAGTGACAAAGATGTTCCCCTTCCCCAGAGGCTCTGTTGGCAAGTAGGGGTTCTCAGAGCATCCTGGTCTCATTGACCAGCCAAGTCAAGGAGGCTGGAGGGTTGGGTCCACTGGAGACCACTTCATCACAAAAATTTTTATCTTTCCTTCCACCTTCAATCCCTGTTTCTATCCTTCCTGGGGTGATAGAGCAGAAATAGAGGGTACTGGAGAGGGAGTAGGGAGAGAAGGAAGGGGGAGCCGGAGCCCTGGGCTACCTAGGAATTTCTTGCTGTCTGCTCTGTCTGACTGAATAAAGTCCTGTTGCCAAAGTGAGTACTTGTGTATGTGAATGTACTGAGGGTGGTCAGAGGTGGGAAGGGAGGAAGCTATGGGGTAGAAGTTGTTGGGATGCATTTGGGATGGTGAAAGAAGAATATCTGCCTATGGCATCTTTTAAAAGAAAATGTTTTGGGGCAGTTAGGTGGCACAGTGGATAGAGCACCTGCCCTGGAGTCAGGAGGACCTCAGTTCAAATCTGGCTTCAGACACATAACACTCACTAGCTGTGTGACTCTGGGCAAGTCATTTAACCTCAACTGCCTCACCAAAAAAAAAATTTTATTAATTAACTCCTGACTCTCTCATATAACAGAAAAATAGCTAAACAAAGCCAAATGACCCAGGAACTGTGTATACAACATTCCATGCCCATAGATCACGACCTCTCTAGAGGAGAGAAGTGTGTTCCAGAAGCAATTTTCTGGAACCAAGACTGGTCTTACATTTCATTTGGTACCATGTCTTTTAGCATTGTTTTCATTTACATTATTGTAATTTATAGATTTTTCTTTTGGTTTGGCTTTCTTTAATCTCTACCACTTCATGCAAGTTTTCCCATGTTTCTCGGAATTCCTTACCTTTGCCATGTCTTATGACGCAATAATATTGCATTATGCTCACATACCATAGTTTGCTCAGGTATTCCCCCTTAGAAGGGCACTTACTCGGCCCTGGACTCAGGAGGACCTGAGTTCAAATTCGACCTTAGACACAAAACACTCACTAGCTGTGTGAAGTCCCTTAACCCCATTGCCTAGCCAAAAAAAAAAGGGGGCACTTACTTTGTTTCTACTATGCTTCTACCATGATTCTGCTGTGAAAAGTATTCCTATGAATATATTGGTACATGTGGTACCTTTTTTTCTGTCATGTATGTGCCCAGTAGTGGGTTTAGTAATGATTTAGTAAGTTTTCTTCTATAACCCTATGGAACCACAATTGTTTTTTGCTGTAGTCTTGCTCTTCTAAACTTTCCTAGTTGAGAGGGAGCTAATTGACTGGGGAAGAGCTCAAGCCCTGGTCAGTGTCCAATTCCACCGTAGCTGTGTTATGTGGTCAGACTTCAGTTTCTCATGGGATGTTTCCTTTAAGCTGCCTATTTAGGAGTAATCATCACAGCTCAGCACCTTGTCTAAAGGAGGAACCAGATGAAGTGCTGTCACCTGTCAACTGATTTCTACCATACCCTCACTTAGTATTCAGCCGGTTGTTATGAGGTATTGCTTCTGGCCTCTTCATTTGGGTTTTCTGCTTCAGACCGGCCTAGTCTGGCTTGGTATTTTCCTCTTCGTATTGTAGTTCTATTGGACGTTCATGTGGTTTCTGCTTTTGCCTACTCCGTTGGTTCTGATGTCCAACTCTCTCGACTTCATCCCTGATCTTTTCTTTGCTCATTCGGGATTCTGATAAGCGACTGTTAGGCTTGCTGCCCCACATTCTCATGGCTCTGACACCCCTAAATTCCTATCCCCTACCTCCCTACTACAAAAATTTGTCCCCCTTCAGATATGGAGCAGGATCATTCTCACTACCCAGAAATAATGAGTGTGTCAGACAATCTCTCCTGCTGCTTCTCTGGATTCTGCCCTCTGAGCCAACCCTCTCCAGAGTGTGGCCAAGGTCAACTTTAAGGGGCCTTCATTTCCCCTTTCTCTGTCTTCCCTCTTCCCTCACAATCTTCCCCCTCCTTGTTCCTAGGTGAGGGGTGGAAAACAGGACAGTAATGATACAAGTAGAAGATTTATTTCAGAGACCTGGATTAGTAGCCAATCATGTGAAAAGGACTTGGAGGTAGTGGGTGGAGAAGGGAGGTGATTAGTAGACCACAAACTTACTATAAACCAATATGGGAGGCAGCTGCGTACAAAAGCTAACCCAATCTTAGGTTACATTAATAGAAGCACGGTGTCCAAATCATGAGAAGCAACAGTCATTTTGTTCTCTGGGCAACTCAGACCACATCTACAATAATGAGTTCAGTTCTGGGCTCCACATTTCAAGAGTAACATTGAATAACTGGAATGTGCCCAAAGGAGGGCCATCGAGATGTTGAGAAGTCCAGGAGTCATATAAAGATTGACTGAAGGAACTGAAGATGTTCAGCCTGGTGAAGACACTGGGGACATGATTGCTGTCTTCAAATATCAGGAGGGCAGGGGCAGCTAGGTGGTGCAGGGTAGAGAGCACTGGCCCTGACATCAGGAGGACCCGAGTTCAAATCTGGCCTCAGACCAAACACTTGACACTTACTAGCTATGTGACCCTGGGCAAGTCACTTAATCCCAATTGCCTAAAAATAAAAAATTATCAGAAGGGCTTTCATTAACAAGAGGGAGTAGTTAAGTTGGCTTCAGAAGGGAGAAGTATGTTTAAGACTGGGAAGTTAGCAAGGAGACAGCTAGCCCCTTAATATAAGGAAGAACTTCCTAAGAACTAGAACCACCCACAAGACCTGATTTTTCAGGCAATAAGCTCTCCTTCACTGAGATGTGCAAGCAGAATCTGGATGGCCATACTGTAAAAGAAATTAATATATTAAGAGGGAGGATAAATCAATGATTTCTGAGGTCCTTTCCAGCTCTAAGAGGAGATGATATCATTCTCTCTTATTTATCTCATAAGACAGCAGTAGGAACCATTTATAAACTCAATTGGGAGTAAACATTACTGCCCATATAGACCCAAGAAGATCGTACATAAATTACAGCATTGGTTTAAATACCCTTCTTCCCCCATCCCCACCCCCACCCCCAGTCTGGCTGGTGCAGAACTTGAGGGTAGCCTATCCAACGTACTTCAGTTTTCTTTTCCTCATCCTGGTCCTATCCTCCTGAAGTAAGAGTTGGGGTTAAATTGAAAAATTTGTAATTGGTCCCACAGGCTTCTAGTTTTTCTCCATCCACTTGTGTGTGGGTCTGTGAATTTACCAGTGGTGGCTGCTTGTAACAGTCACTGACACCACAGGGACAAGGTCCTTTGGTGGCTAAGTAGGACGGTGGATAGAAGGCTGGACCTTGAGTCAGGAAAATTTAGGTTGAAATCCATCCTCAAAGATTTCTGACAGATAGGTGACCCTAGACACATCACTCAACCTTTCCTAGCCTTGGCTTTCTCATCTGTAAAATGGGTTTAATAATATCAACTACCTCCCAGGGTTGTTGTGAGGATCAAATGAGTTAACATATGCATAGGGCTTTTCACACCTTAAATTGTTATATAAATGCTAGCTATTATTATCATTATTATTATTTGGCCTAGCTAGGGAAGCTCCAGACTTCAAGCAGCCTTATGCCTTCTTCAACCATCCAGTAATTTGATGTTTACAGCAACCATATGTATATGAAATAAATTATATTAATGTTTTATTTTATAATATGGATCAGTTATATATAATATCTATGTTACATATTAATATATAATTTATAGAACACTGAATGACTGGAGAGTTTACATATATATAGGTATGTGGATATATGTGTATACATATTATATAATACGCATACTTATATTTATATATATAATGTATATTTGTTTATTTAATGTATATAATGTTTATTTACATTTATATACAGAAATATTACATATGCCATGTATATGTGTATATGTATGTGTGTGTGTGTGTCTGTGTGTGTGTGTGTGTGTGTGTGTGTGTGTGCGCGCATGTGTGTGTGTACATATATTTGGGCTGAGGTACATTACCTGCAGGAGTCTGAACATAAATATCAAGTTATAAGGCCCCAGGACTATGGCCTATCTTGGACCAGAAACCTGAGGCCCAATGGCAGAGAAATCAGCCCCACCCCACAAACCTATAAACATCTGGAAAGGGTCCCCCCCCATCCCAGCTCAAGTCCACATGGAGTCAGGGTAGGAAGTTAGACGTAGTTGGATGCTACAGTGGATAGAGTATTGGCCTTTGATTTAGACCTGAGTCTGAATCCTTTATAAAGTATTCATGAGCTATATGACCCTGTATAACCTCTCAGCTTCAGCTTCCCCACCTGTAAAATGGGTATTATAATATATTTAGATAAATATATATAATTATGATATAATAATAGCATCTTGTTCCCAGATTTGTGGTGAGGATGAAATGAGATAACATGTGTATTAACTGTGTGACCCTAGGCAAGTCACTTAACCCTGATTGCCTCGCCAAAAAGCAAAAAAAAAAAAAAAAGGAAAAAGAGATTCTGCTCTTAGGAAATCCTGACCTCTTCCAATCAAGGACAACTTCCCACTATCAGGAATTGTAAAAAAGGAGATTGAGATGATGTGCAAAGTGCTTTGCCAACCTTGATATGCTATCTAAATGCTAGCTATTATTAGGAAGTTAGCAGAAACCATCTTGTCTTGACCAGGCAACAGCCTCAACCAAACAGAATGAGGCTGACCTGGCAGCTAAGGGATGGAGGGAGGGAGGAAGCAATGGAACCATGCAGGGGTCCAGTTAGCCAGCCAGTTGGAGGCAGAAGCTCTGCACTAATTAGGGGGTGGCAGCCCCAAGGCAGGTGCTTTCAGTCAGGGTAAGACAGCTGTGAAAGTATTATTCTCTGCTTTTTGATGAGAGAAAAGATGGAAAAAGATGAGGATAGAATCAAGGCCGAGAAAGACTGAGGACTATGGTCCTTGAGATGATTTCTTTAGTGTTCAACCAGGTCTAGTGCAGGGGTGGGGAACCTGCTGCCTCAAGGCCACGTGTGGCCCTCTAGGTCCTCAAGTGCAGCCCTCTGACCTTCAGCTGCACTTGAAGACGTAGAAGGCCAGGGCAGCTAGGTGGCGCAGTGGATAGAGCAGCAGCCCTACGTCAGGAGGACCTGTGTTCAAATCTGGACTCAGACCAAACACTTGATACGTGCTAGCTGTGTGACCCTGGGCAAGTCACTGAACCCCAATTGCCTGAAAAAAAGAAGAAGAAGAAGAAGAAGAAGACCTAGAGGGCTACATATGGCCTTGAGGCCGCAGGTCGCAGGTTGCCCATC